ACCGCCATCAGACTCTCCCCTAGTCTTCAATCGTTTCAGAACTGCCTTAAAACCCATCTCTTTAGGAAAGCTTATGGCCTCCCAGAGTAACCTCCACCTCACATACCTGTCTCTGGCTCTCCCATAGGGCAGCACTTTACTCTCTCCTCCAGCTCTGCTTCACTCCCACCTTATTTGATTGCTATTTCCTGTCCTAATGTGTTTTATACCCCACCTCCTGTAGACTGTAAGCTCGTTTGAGCAGGTTCCTCTTCAACCTATCCTTCCTATAAGTTTTCTTGTAATTGTCCTATTTATAGTTAAATCCCCCCTCTCATAATATTGTAAAGCGCTACGGAATCTGTCGGCGCTATATAAATGGCAATAATAATAATTACTGATTACATGACTTTTATATACCGATTAAGTAGTATATTATATTTGAACTAAAACAAGCATAATTTCCCTTTTCTTTTAAAATTGAAAGTTACTTTCTTTTTATTTAATATGTTTTGATAAACAATCAAACGGACACGTCATTTATAAGTATGATATGCAGTCACATAAAGAAAGAGACATACATCTTGCAAGGAAGGATTCAGTACCGAGGGTTCCATTATGAACAAACAACAGTGTACCTTTTTAACAGACTGGTGCACAGCAAATAAATATGTTGAGATTGAATTGATTTTTTTGAAAAATTATTTTTGTTTTGGATGGTTCAGGTGTTGTCCATGTGGCATTTCAGTTCTGACAAATTTCATACATGCAATTATTTCAGGAAACACAAAATAGTGCAAATATTGGCCAATCAGTGAACTCCAAATCAAGAAACAAATTAAATGGTTCATCCTTTTCCACGTCATTTATATCATCCATAGCATTTCGGAGTTCAGGATTTCAGACAAATTGCCGAACACTCAAAAATTCTGATGAATCACAATTCATTTGGAGCTGAACACTTAAAGGGACACTCCAGGCACCCAGACCACTTCTGCCCATTGGAGTGGTCTGGGTGCCAACTCCCACTACCCTTAACCCTGCAAGTGTAATTATTGCAGTTTCTTATAAACTGCAATAATTACCTTGCAGGGTTAACTCCACCTCTAGTGGCTGTCTACTAGACAGCCGCTAGAGGGCACTTCCGTGTCCCTAGCACAGGAAACCTGTGCTAGAGCGTCGCTGGACGTCCTCACGCTGTGTGAGGACCTTCAGCATCACTCATTTCCCCATAGGAAAGCATTGAAAAGCAGTCTCGCCCACCAGCCGACGCAATCACTGGGAGGAGCGGCGGCGGAGGATAAAGCAGCGATGTGGGACATCGTCGCTGCCTCTGGTAAGTTAGTGAGCAACTGGGGATTGGGGGGTGGGAGGGAGAGGGAACCTGCACTGCGAGGAAAACTGATTATTTTCCTAGCACTGGAGTTTCCCTTTAACACTTAAAACGTCTTCGTTAGTTCATGTAAAACAGAGAAATAATTATATGACATATGTACATGTATATAACGACCCGTGATTACCTAAATGCTGAAATGTTTAAAAAAAATCCTGAAATAATTTCTCTTAATGCAACACATTTTGAGGTTGTAAAGACTGTAGATCATTGGTTCTGGTTGGATAGTGTTATAACATTCATGTTTCTCTACGACTTTGCCAAACGATTAATTGCTGTGGTGTTTTACACAGGACTCAAAAAAACTTTTCGAGATTTTGAAATGATAACTCAGAAAGACATTGTGTTAGATGGTGTTACTAATTGACTCTTCTTGCTTGCCTTCCATTCACTGAGAGATAATATAGACCATCCCTTGGGATTTATCCCAGCTGAGAAGGGGTGTCTTGTAAAGAGATTCTAATTTATATTTTGTCAACAAAAGCTGATTAATCCTACAGAGAGGAATCGTTCAGAGAATCAAACCTTTGTCCTTGTAGGTTCAGAGTGTGCTAAGAAAAAGGGAGAAAGGGATTTACTAGCTGCACGGTTGAAAGGGTGCATTTAAAGCTGTCAAACAGTTGTAGGCTCAGAGTGTGATCCAAAATTCCATATCTTCTTTTCAAGTCAGTTAAAACAGCTTAGGAAAAAGCTGAAACTGGCAATCTGCATCGTTCATTTCAACTGGCTTTTAGTTACGATACGTATAAACTAGCTCCACTTCATCTCGGACAATGTAGCGGGTTTGAGAAGGTGCATGAGTGATGTTAGGAGGTTCAGAAATAACATAAATAACAATTTAAAATAAATTTGAATGCAATAAAAAGTTGCCGTAAAACATTGTATCGTGGTCTTTTTGGCATGGCAAAATAAATAAAATTATATCGTTTCATTTTAACTGTTCCACTGGCAGCTGAAATCTAAACTTTGCAAAATTGTTGCTTGTGCCTCAAAATGGGATTAAATATACTGCGGTAAACATATAATAGGTATATAATAGATGTCCTTTCAATTTAGAATTGTATGGGGTAAATTGCTGAACTTGTATTTAATCATTGTTACTGCTTAAATTAGATCTACCCACGACCGACCCAAACTTTCTAGGTACCCAAGTACAGCTCTGATTTGGCACTGATGCGTGATGACATATTGCCACTTTTCTGCAGGCTGCCATATAAAAAAAACAATAATTTCAATGTAGCAAGTCTAAGAAGACCTTTCTCAATTCAATGCACATTGTAGTGCATTGCCACTTTGTTTAATTTAAATTTTCCTTTTCTCCTTCCTGGAGAGTTTTTTCTCCAGTTCTTATCCAGAGCTGGCCCATCCACAGACATAAAGTAGGCAACTCCCTGTGGCACTAAGCAGTGGTAAGGGGCAGGGGCGGACTGACCACTCGGGCACTTCGGTCATGGACCGAGGGCCCGAGGCAGTCAGGGGCCCGGCAGCACAGCTATGTTCCAGCTGGAGAGATCAGAGATCTCTCCAACTGGAACGGCAAAAAAAAAAAAAAAAACTTTTTAATTGATAGGTTGTGGGGCCCCTGATGCAGCGCGAGGCCCCACAGCCTACCACTCTCTAAATCCCCCCGCCCCTCCCTCCCATGAGACCTGGCAGCTTCACCTCCTCTCTGCCAGGTCTCCTTCTCCCTGTCCCACGCGGTGCTCTGTGTGATGGGGAGAGGGGCCAGGAAGTGACATCACTTCCTGCTTACTCCTCTCACACAGAGCCCAGCGAGGGGAAGGAGCAGCAGCCTGGGAGAGAGCAGAGGGAGCAGAGACACAGGTAGGTACTAATCACCCCCTCCCCCCTCACTGTCACTAGTCACCCTCCACCCCCCCTCACTGTCACTAGTCACCCTCCATCCCCCCTCACTGTCACTAGTCACCCTCCACCCCCCCTCACTGTCACTAGTCACCCCCCCTCACTGTCACTAGTCACCCTCTCACTCACTCTGTCACTAGTCACCCTCTCCCTCACTCTGTCACTACTCACCTCACTGTCACCCAATCACCCCCCCTGTAACTAGTCACCCCCTCCCCCCCTGTCACTAGTCACCCCTCACTGTCACCAATCCACCCCACTGTCACTAATCACCCCCTCACTGTCACCAATCACCCCCCCACTGTCATAATCACCCTCACTGTCACTAGTCACCCCCCTCCCTCCCCCTCACTGTCACTAGTCACCCCCCACTGTCACCAATCACCCCCTCACTGTCACTAATCACCCCCCCTGTCACTAGTCACCCCCACTGTCACTAGTCACCTCCCCTCACTGCTAGTCACCCCCCACTGACACTAATAGCCCCCCACTGTCACTAGTCACCCCCCACTGTCACTGAGTCACCCCACTGTCACTAATCACCCCCCTCTCCCCCTCATCACTAATCACCCCCCCTCACTGTCTTCAATCACCCCCCCTCCTGTCACTAGTCCCCACTGACACTAATAACCCCCCACTGACACTAATAACCCCCCACTGACACTAATAACCCCCTCACTGTCACTAGTCACCCCCCCTCACTGTCACTAGTCACCCCCTCACTGTCACTAATCACCCCTCACTGTCACTAGTCACCCCCCCCACTGTCACTAGTCACCCCCCCACTGTGTCACTAGTAACCCCCTCCCTCACTCTGTCACTAGTCACCCCCCCCACTGTGTCACTAGTATCCCCCTCCCTCACTCTGTCACTAGTCACCCCTTCCCTCCCTCACTCTGTCACTAGTCACCCCCTCCCTCACTCTGTCACTAGTCACCCTCTCCCTCACTCTGTCACTAGAGTGAGTGGGTGACTAGTGACAGAGTGAGGGAAGGGATGACCAGTGACAGAGGGAGGGGGTGACTAGTGACAGAGTGAGGGACGGGGTGATTAGTGACAGAGTAAGGGAGGGGATGACTAGTGACATAGGGAGGGATGGGGTGACACAGTGACAGAGGGAAGAATAGGGTGACACAGTGACAGAGGGAGGGGGTGACTAGTGACAGAGTGCGGGAGTGGGTGACTAGTGACAGAGTGAGGGGATGACTAGTGACAGAGTTAGGGATGGGGTGACTAGTGACAGTCACCATCTCCCTCCCTCTGTCACTAGTCACCATCTCCCTCCCTCTGTCACTAGTCACACCCTCCCTCACAGGTACCCCCCCCGTCACTAGTCACCTCTCCCTCACTCTGTCACTAGTCACCCATTCCCTCCTTCACTCTGTCACTAGTCACACCCTCCCTCACTCTGTCACTAGAGTGAGGGAATGACTGGTGACAGAGTGAGGGAAGGGGTGACTAGTGGCAGAGTGAGGGAAGGAAGGGATGACTGGTGACAGAGTGAGCGGATGACTGGTGACAGAGTGAGTTAGGGGGATGGCTAGTGACAGAGTGAGTTAGGGGGTGACTAGTGACAGAGTAAGGGACAGAGGGGGTGACTAGTGACAGAAGGAGGGAGGGATAGTGACAGAAGGAGGGAGGGAGTAGTGACAGAAGGAGGGAGGTGGTGACTGGTGACAGTCACCACCTCCCTCACTCTGTCACTAATAACCCTTTCCTCACTCTGCCACTAGTCACCCCTTCCCTCACTCCGTCACTAGTGACAGAGTGAGGGAGGGGATGACTAGTGACAGAGTGAGGGAGGGAAGTGGTGACTAGTGACAGAGGGAAGGGTGACTAGGGACAGAGTGAGGGAGGTTGTGACTAGTGACAGTCACCACCTCCCTCACTGTCACTAGTCACCCCCTCCCTCACTCTGTCACCAGTCATCCCCTCACTCTGTCACTAGTCACCCCTTCCTTCCCTCACTCTGCCACTAGTCACCCCTTCCTTCCCTCACTCACCTGTCACCCCCTCACTTTGTCACCTGTCACCCCCTCACTCTGTCACCTGTCACCCCCTCACTCTAGTGACAGAGTGAGGGAGGGTGTGACTAGTGTCAGAGAGAGGGAGGGGGTGACTAGTGACAGAGTGAGGGAGGTGATGATTAGTAACAGAGGGAGGGATGGGGTGACTAGTGACAGTCACCCCCTCCTTCACTCTGTCACTGTGTCACCCCCTTCCTCACTCTGCCACTAGTCACCCCTTCCTTCCCTCACTCTGCCACTAGTCACCCCTTCCCTCACTCTGTGACCTGTCACCCCCTCACTCTGTGACCTGTCACCCCCTCACTCTAGTGACAGAGTGAGGGAGGGGGTGATTAGTGTCATAGAGAGGGAGGGGGTGACTAGTGACAGAGTGAGGGAGGGAAGGGGTGACTAGTGACATAGTGAGGGAGGTGATGATTAGTGACAGAGGGAGGGATGGGGTGACTAGTGACAGTCACCCCCTCCTTCACTCTGTCACTGTGTCACCCCCTCCCTCACTCTGTCATCGTGTCACCCCCTTCCTCACTGTCACTAGTCACCCCTTCCTTCCCTCACTCTGCCACTAGTCACCCCTTCCCTCACTCTGTCACCCCTTCACTCTAGTGACAGAGTGAGGGAGGGTGTGACTAGTGACACAGAGAGGGTGGGGGCGACTAGTGACAGAGGGAGGAGTGACTAGGGACAAAGTGAGGGAGGTGGTGACTAGTGACAGTCACCACCTCCCTCACTTTGTCACTAGTCACCACCTCCCTCACTCTGTCACCAGTCATCCCCTCACTCTGCCACTAGTCACCCCTTCCCTCTAGTGACAGAGTGAGGGACGGTGTGACTAGTGACAGAGAGAGGGAGGGGGTGACTAGTGACAGAGTGAGGGAGGTTGTGATTAGTGACAGAGGGAAGGATGAGGTGACTAGTGACAGTCACCACCTCCTTCACTCTGTCACTAGTCACCCCCTTCCTCACTCTGTCATTGTGTCACCCCCTTTCTCACTCTTTCACTAGTCATCCCCTTCCTTACTGTCACTAGTCACCCCCTGCCTCTCTCTGTCACTAGTCCCACCCTCCCTCACTCTGTCACTAGAGTGAGGGCGTGACAGGTGACAGAGGGAGGGGATGACTGGTGACCGAGTGAGGGAGGGGGTGACTAGTGACAGAGTAAGAGATGGAGGGGGTGACTAGTGACAGAAAGGAAATTAGTGACAGGGAGTGTGTACAGTGCATGTGTCACCACCTCCCTCACTCTGTCACTAGTCACCCGTTTATTCCCTCACTCTGCCACTAGTCACCCCCTCACTCTAGTGACAGAGTGAGGAAGGGGGTGACTAGTGACAGAGTGAGGAAGGGGGTGACTAGTGACAGAGTGAGGAAGGGGGTGACTAGTAACAGAGGGAGGGGTGACTAGGGACAGAGTGAGGGAGGTGGTGACTAGTGACAGTCACCACCTCCCTCACTCTGTCACTGTGTCACCCCCTCCATCTGTCACTGGTCATCCACTCCCTCCCTCCCTCCCTCTGTCACTGGTCACCCACTCCCTCCCTCACTTTGTCACCAGTCATCCCCTCACTCTGTCACTAGTAACCCCTTCCTTCCCTCACTCTGCCACTAGTCACCCCCTCACTCTAGTGACAGAGTGAGGGAGGGTGTGACTAGTGACAGAGTGAGGGAGGGTGTGACTAGTGACAGAGAGAGGGAGGGAGTGACTAGTGACAGAGTGAGGGAGGGAGTGACTAGTGACAGAGGGAGGGATGGGGTGAATAGTGACAGTCACCACCTCTGTCACTGTGTCACCCCCTTCCTCACTCTGTCACTGTGTCACCCCTTCCTCACTCTGTCACTGTGTCACCCCTTCCTCGCTCTGTCACTAGTCACCCACTCCCTCCCTCACTCTGTCACTAGTCACCCCCTCTCACTCTTTCACTAGTCACCCCCTCTCTCACTCTGTCACCAGTCATTCCTTCACTCTGTCACCAGTCATCCCTTCCTTCCCTCACTCTGCCACTAGTCATCCCTTCCCTCACTCTGTCACCAGGCATCCCCTCACTCTGTCACCAGTCACCCCTTCCTTCCTTCACAGTGACAGAGTTAGGGATGGGGTGACTAGTGACAGAGAGAGGGATGGGGTGACTAGTGACAGAGAGAGGGATGGGGTGACTAGTGACAGAGTGAGGAAGGGGGTGACTAGGGACAGAGGGGGTGACTAGTGACAGAGTGAGGGGGTGACTAGTGACAGTCACCCCTTCCCTCTCTCTGTCACTAGTCACTCCCTCCCTCTGTCACTAGTCACTCCCTCCCTCTGTCACCAGTCACTCCCTCCCTCTGTCACCAGTCACCTCTTCCCTCCCTCACTTTGCCTCTAGTCATCTCTTCCCTCCCTCCCCCACTCTGCCACTAGTCACCCATTCCCTAACTCTGACACTAGTCACCCCCTCTCCCTCCCTCTGTCACCAGTCACCCCCACTCACTGTGTCTCCCCCTCACTCTGCCACCACTCAACCCCTCCTTCCCTCACTCTGCCACCAGGTACCCCCTCACTCTGCCACCTGTCACAACCTCCCACACTCTTCCACCTGTCACCTTCTCCCTCATACACTCTGTCACCTGTCACATATGCATTCACACAGACACTATATACAAAAAGCACATGTAGTCATCCAGACATGCACAAGTGCATTCACACAGACTCAAATACAAACATGCATTGATACACAGGTCTTCACAATATACACATCCAAAGGAATGCCGTATTATGAGTTATATTTAACATTTATTTAATGCACGTATATTTGGCCTTCAAAGGGCCTGGGATCTAATTTTGTCCGGGGGCCCCAAAGGCTCTCAGTCCGCCCCTGGTAAGGGGTATTTTTATTTGAAGCCAAATGCTTTATGGAAGATTTAACATCTGGAGATCCATGAGATAATCACAGTCATAACTCACTGGTGGATAGCTTCCATGAAGAAAATAGTTAAAAACAAGTCTCCAATACTGTATCTTATCTAATGGTGCTAGATTCGGAAGCAGGGCCTGGTGAACCATCTACAAGTGAAAAACAGAAGTGACTTTGAAAGTAGATAAGATCACAGTGCGTTGGATCTGCAAGAATATATCTGGCCAAGATATACAGTTAAAGGAAAACTCGAAGCACTATAACCACTACAGCATGCATTTAAGAGTGGTTTTACGTCTTACCTTGTGTCCCCACATTCACTACCTCATCCATAGAGCCGGAAGCTGCTTTTTAGCGTCCGTTAGCTCTGTCCATTATCACTCCTGAGTTAAGCCCTCCAGTGCTATGCTTGCTCAATGGCTAACAGCACCAGCTAATTACTCTTAGGCAATGAGCTATGTTTTCCACTGCTAGGCTTAGCTCAAACATAGAACTTCTGGCTCCTCTATTGCTGTACTGAGGTGCGGCACTGCAATTACTACAATGGGGGGGGAGTGTCAAGTCAATTTTGACACCATAACCACTACAGCACTGTAGTAGTGGTTGTGGTGCATTGACTGTTCCTATAATCTCACAAACACAGTCTATTAAAATAGATTACGTTAACTAAAATTAAATTATCAGTGGGGGAAAAACACCCAATCAGTTACACCACTAAACAGGCTGTTATCCGACGGAGACTATACTTTATTTTTCCAAAATATATTAGTAGGACTTCTCACTGAAGTCACTGAAGTATGAAATGTCAGCAAACCAAAGCAAATTCAGTGTGAATGTTAATTTTTATGCAAAAGTCAGCTATGATGAAATGTGGCTTTTTCTGCCTAACATTTACAATGTACTTTGAGGTCACTTTGCATTTCATATAATTCACTATTTAGTGAAAAACCTGTAACTGTTTTGGGATAGTTAGGGGTGTTGACTTGTTTCTACTCAGATAATTCTTTGTCTGCAACAGTTATCCTATACACAGAAATGAACTGAATTTAAAAGCAAAATGTGAAACGTTCGACTAAAATATCCATTTTGTGAATATTCACGAATTGGACAATTTTTCCAAATCAGATATTTTTGCCTACATTTCCCAAGCCAGTTTTCCATTCACTACAATTGAGTGCTTAGTCAGTAAACCACGTTGTATCAAAGGGAGAACGATTATTCTATTCACTGAGTCATCAGGAAGTGATGTGAACCAGAATTCTATGTATCCACAAACTGATTTAGTGGCAAGAATGTAACTGTGATCCAGGTGTGTCAAGGTATTTAGCGAAAATGTTGGCAGCGATCAAACCTTGGGAACAGAAAGCAATGTTCCTCATGAGAAAGTAATTACTAACTGGGCACCAGTTCCAACCATTGAGTCTGCTTCCAGGTTTTCAAAGACTTGATTCATTGTGACAGACTTCCTTGCATTGTAAACCATTATACTATTGGAATTAGCTGTAGGAATCCGGGACATTACTGCAACTGTATTACAAATCAAATACAGAGTCTGTCCGTTACCACCGTACAACATGTACAGTCCCATTCAGCTCAGCTGCTTAATATGTCGGCATTTTAAACAACTGATCAGAAAATCACTGCTTTGTCAAAATCGTGTCAGATGCATCAATGTGATACTTCCATTGTGTCATAACAGTTAGAGAACAATAGCTGAAACTGTTTTGTGCAAGGTTGGCTGACTTTTTTTTAATATAGACCCCTTTAAGAATTGGGTGTAAACTATATATTATTGTGAAAAGGTTTGCAGAGTTAATGAGCAAGCAAATAGCCCCATCAATGAGGGACATTTCTCATAGTGCCACTAAACGTGAGTCAGTTACCTTGGAAAACAGCAGAACCAGATTATACATTGGTGGCTTCTCACATTCTACATCTTTACAAGACTTTTACAAGACTTTTGAGAACAGAACACCTTAATAACTGCTCCCACCGCACCCACCAGTATGGTATTACAAATAATGATCTAGGTATGATTATTATCACACACACACATCGATTCACATTATTTATTCAGACACCCTACAGC